CAGGGCAGCGCAGCCTGGCGGGCGGCAGGGCCGTTGGAGGCAGCTCTGGCCTCGAGGCTGCTCGAAGGGACTCTGGACTCAAGAAGAAAATGCTGCTTCAAACGGCACCTGTTTGATGTTATTCCAGCTCCACAGAGATGCCTGGGAACCCATTTCCAAAAGATGCTTAAAAAGGTATGTTTTTAAGTTTAGTGATCGATGGGCAACCCCGTGCATGGTGCTTTGCCCTCTCTGTTATTGTCCTCTTTTCTGCATTTGAATCTATTGGGATTCTTCTTTTCTTCTTTTTTAATGTGCTCTTGCAGAAGCCTTTGAGAGAGTGGAAAGGATATAGTGAAAGATTTAGGAAAATAGTCTGATGAGACAGATGATGAAGGTACTATAAGGCTTTTACGATTGCCCATGGATTTTTAGCTCTTTTTGCAGGAGTGTGTTTAGTGATGGTTAGAAGGAATCTTAATTTACCATTTCATGTACAAAGTCTACTTTAGCTTTTGTAGCATTACCTACTGCCAACTACGAGGTAAATAACGTTTTGCAGAAGATACTCACAAAAGTACGTGACTGTACAGATGAATCAGAGAGTCACAAAAGGAAGTTTCCAAGGGCTGGATCTTGCACTAGGCGAGAGAGTCGTGAGTGGTTTGTTTGCTCTGTTTGATTTTTGATTGTATAGTATGAACAGTCTGGATGAGACACGTTTGGTCAGCACTGGTCTGATCACATCGAGCTGCTTAAGAACGGGACATATGTGTAGAAAGTACAATAATAGGAGATCACTGGTAGGATCCTGTGTACAATTATATCTTAGTTTTTAAAGGGAACTAAAAAACTGATAAATAACAGAAAAGACTGCATAGAGGTTTAGATCAGAAAAGGTCATCTGCTTAGATGTACCATATGTCACAGATCATCCAGTTCCGCCCAGTTACCCTGTGTTGGCAAGAGCTGAAACATTTAGCTGAAGCCTGTCTCCTAAAAGACAACCCCATTTGGTCTGCAGACATCAGAAGACAAGGAATCTATCAGTTCTCTTTGTATTGTTTCAGCAATTACCACTCTCACTGCTGGAAAAATAAGTCTTAATGTTTATTTGGTTTATTTTTCTCCACCTTCCAGTCATTGACAGTTATTATACCTCTCTTCACTAAAGAGCTCTTAACTACTCAGGTACTCAGAGTCTCAGAAATAATGTCAATTAACTCCCCAGTCTTCTTGAACACAAATGAAACAGGCTGATCTCTTGAAGTGGAGCAAAATTTGTAGGAGGAGAAGCTGTCTTTTATCAGATCAGATTACTGGAAAATCAGTTTGTCTAATAAAAGATACCACCCCTCTGCACAAATCTTGTCTCGTTCCTGGCTTTGGATTGTCATAGTCACAGTACTCCTGAGCTCTTCAAGTGTCTCACTGGAAGAATAAGTTTTAGTGGTTATCTATGGCCTTACTAAGTTTTCAGATTTTGAGCACCAAAAC